GCCTGCTTTTCTCTCTGACAAAGTCCGATTGTGCTCTGCTTCAGGAATACAGACTTGAAACCACGATTAGAACCTGCAACTTCAAAGCACTCGGCTTTCAAAGGCTTTCTTTTACTGCTAGCTTCAGGAGTCCTGGCTCCTATGTGTCCAGACAGCTTATAAAGGGGCTGTTTTCATCCTCACCTCCCCATTCAACACCCCAGATCTGCGCTCACCACCACTCCACTGCTATTATCAGAAATCCCCTGATATGAGGTCTGTATTTCTCTACAGAACGAGACATTTAGGGACAAGGAAAAAATGCTGTCATCCACCTCTGCTGTTTGACCTTGTTAGTCCTGAGGGTTGATTAGAGGCTATCTGGGACTTCTCTTTGAAGAACACACTCCCTGTCTTTTCTCATCCTGAGCAGTTGATCCATCTTGGTGAGCTGGCACTGAACTCATTGCGGTTAAACGTTTAATGGAGTGAACATGAATATCACTGTCAATTGTGGGAGCCTCGTACATGTGGAGGACTGCGGTTTGTTATTTCAATAGATATGAGCAGGCTGATAGAGAAACACTGCCTTGCAGGACTGGAGCAGAGAAAATACACAGGTCTCTGTGGATCTGGATCTGGCTCAGGACTTAGTGAGTGAGAGCCTGAGTTGTGTCTGCCTTGATGCGACCTCGGGGAGGGTTCGGTTAATGACACCCTGGGGTCATTCATGACTGGTGTGTCAAGTTGCATGAGTCAGTAATGTACACTTGACTTTATCATAACACCCACTCGCTGCTCATTGATAAGCACAAAGGCTTTCTTCATTTGTTGTTCGCGAAGCAGACAGGAGTGTACGCTGAATAAATCGCACTGAAAAACTATCAGTCCTGTTTATCCCCTCTGCTTGTTCTTGTGATTGTCAGACCCTGACGACGTATAACTGGCTGATGAAGGTTTCGTCTTTATTAAAGATCAACACTGGAGGAGTCGTCCTGTGATGACATCATATTCCCGAGAAGCAGCTGTGTTTTCTCAGAGTCACTTCAGCAGCAAAGAGCTGAACTCTGCAGAGTTATCTGCCAAGAAATGTACATGTAGAGTGGGTGTCAATACTAGCTTTAGCATTATTGTTGTTTTTCTAATATAAAGGATAAACAAGTGTCCTCGCTGCCTGTAATGATCTAAAATGCTGACCAGGTTCACAACAAAAACAAGTTTTGCTATTCTAATTTGTTTAATCAAAACATCATGAGTTAAGGATATAATCATGAAGCTCAGCTGATACATGCAGGTGAGAGAGGGCGCCTGGGGGTTCTTACTAAGTCGTTAAAAATGGGTTTCCAAAAACTGTAATTAAAGTTAGTTCCCAGGAATGAAACAAACAAACAAACAAAGCCAGGGCGGGAAAAAGATGAAAGAAAAAAAACAGCTTATTTCATTCCTACGAACTTCGTCACTTAATGTAGGCACAGAGCTAGGGGAAAAAGTAATCAAATCAATATAATGAAAACACAACACTACCAAAATACATCTCTAAAGGCCAGCGTGGAACCAAGTAACTGAAGAATTATTTTAACATGTCTTAAGTACAAAAAATAAACACCACGCTCATGCAGAATGACCCCAAGTTAGTGTTAAAGGGATATTCCGGCATAAAATGAAGTTAGGGTCAAACACACCGTAACACCGAGTTAGACACCCCGTTAGAACATTTATGATCATTTCTTTATCACTTCCTTGATAATCATCATATTAATCATTTTGCACTGCAGACACGGTAGTTCTTCTGCCTTAGCGTCTTGGTCTGAGTGCATTTCCATGAAGAAATGATCATAAATGTTGTTCCTTGAGTTGCGTCACCCTGCTGCTGTCGCCTGGAGGTCTTTGTACAAACAAGCGGCTGCTGGAAGAGATTGGGTGAGTTGTGTTTAGTCTCTTTGCTAAAGAAATCAGGCCAAGTTAAAAAGATGTTTGGTTGCTAGTGCTGTGGCTGGGACCCTATATGTACTGTTGATGAAGTTAGGTGCTGTTCTGAGCATTATTTGTGGCTATAGAGAGGCTTTTTGGTTGAGCGCTTGGTTGAGTCTGTATTGCTATCATGCGGTCATTACTAAAGTTGGTATAACTAGAGAAGCAAGCAGTCAGCAACATTCATCTCTCGAGGAGGGGTCTAACTCGGTGTTACGGTTTGTTTGACCCTAACTTTATTTTACACCGGAATATCCCTTTAAATTATTGAACACACAAGAGTAAGAAAGGCACGTCAACCTTGTAATCAAGTAATTTAGGCTCCATGTTGGCTATTCAGTTACTTTTGTAATATAAAGAAAGTCTTTAACCATCTTAGACTCACTGGTCACATTTACCCTTTCCTTGTTCTCTGCCAACAAAAATAACATAATAAGGCTTGTTAAATCCCGATATGTAACTATGATCTGAAATGTACCAATGGCCCAAAATGTAAAAAAAAAGTAATAAAACCCTCAGTGTAGCAACTGGCTGATAATGTGACAAATGTTCTGAGCCCAAAATGTTATAACAACATGCAATAAAATCAAACTGAAATAACAAATGTAACAACATTTTGAGCAAAAAGTTATTAGATTTTGGGCTCAGCGTCTTGTTGTATTTTAGGTCAGTTATTACATTTTGGGTTTTATAACATTTCTTAACATTTTGGGCAGTTGTTACATTTCAGATCAATGTTACATATCGGGCTCTAACAAGGCTTTTATTCTTAAGACAGAAAATAAGATGCTTAGATACAGCAGCAGAGACTCACGGTGAGAAGAGTCTAATCGGTTTTAGATGTGCCTGCTAACCTGAGAGGAACAGCAGGTAGAGCGCTGAGATCAGCACCATGGACAGATCCACCAGGCAGGTATTCTCACCTTGAGGAGACTTGAGCATCTGTTTGTCATGTCAATTTATTCAGCATCATGCTCTCCAGAGAGGCACAAGTACATGACAGTTTAAATTTCAGGTCTAGGTGAGTAAATGTAATTTCGTACATAATTCTGAGTCAGAATATCAAGAAAATGTCAATCATCTTCTTTAAAATCTAAAAAGTTTAATTCAAGCAAAACACTTTAACAACCATGGGCTTCCCTCAAACAATACTTCACTCTCAGGCCTCCTTGAGGATGTAAATGAATGTTCACTGGTGTTGTGACCTCTGACCCTCACTGCCCCCCTGTTTCCTGATCCAGATGCTGCTTCTGTGGACCACAGGCTCTTCAACCTAAACAAAGTAATCCTCCACTAAACAAGATGGATATTGTATCTCCAACCCAGTAAACACCAGGGGCTCTTAAACACAGAGCTTCTCTCTCCTTACGTCTGATGCAACAGGGAACGATGAGGTCTCGTATTGTTTTGTAGATGAAAAAAAAGAAACGTTATGTTACAGTTTCACATAAATCTTGCGGTATACTGCAGTATACAAACACAAGCTCTCTTGTGGGGGATATAATAAGAGCATTCAGGGGTTCTCAAAAGAAAGTTTGACAATAAGAACTGGCTGCACAACAAAAATGTAAGATTGGGATCATATGCTGCCTATACAAGTCCTTTGATCTGCTTGACTTAAGCAAGAAGAGATGGAAACGGACATCCAAAAGTCCTTGTGGGTTAGGTTTACAGAGATGTGCCAAAGTTGCTCAATTCTCATATATAGAGAAGAAATGTTGACTCACAGGACTACTTGATATTGTGGCTGACACATAGCAGCATAATGAAGAGGATGCCAAAAGGTGGATAAAGGGCAGTCTTCTCTCAGACCTGTAATGCAGTCACTATATGTTACTTTCACTTAGAGTAGTCAGCCTTAAAATGGCTTTGGTATTGAGGGTTACATTAGGTTCAATGAGGATATCAACTTAATTTCTTGTTACTTCTGACAAGTATTTTTTGTTAGCTGAGTATGGTAGGGGAAAGTCCCGCCTCCTTCACCTCTGATTGGCTAGAAAAGCTGGAAACGTCATCACATGCTCAAGCCTAACACGGGCTGTCGGCACTGTACACCAGACAGAACATTACAGAACATTATAGCACTTATGAATCTCCTAACCCTAACCTTCATCCTAATCCTAATCCTAAACCTAACCCTTACCCGACAGACAATGACGTTTCACAGCCATTAGGAATAACCAATCGGAGCCCAGCACTTCTAGCCAAACTGAGGCGAAGGAGGGCGGGACCTTCCCCTACCAAAAAATTTTGCATCCAGGATGGATAGCTACTATTGGTCAATGTTTTTGCAGCCCTGCACCTGCTAGGGTAAACAGATTTTTTCCATTTTTTTCTCTTCACTTTGTGGAGATCACACTATAGCACCGTGATCACCATAGAAACGAGGTTCATAATAATTACCAATCTCTCAATACAATCGCCAACCATGCCTTTAAAGTAAAGAAAATTCAAGGATGATTTGATCACTTTACCTCTGTTTTTTCCTCACATTTCAAAACAGCATTCATAATGTGAGTTCAAGGTACATTAATGTGAAAAAACCCTAACCCTCCTGTTCCCACCAAGTTTGTAAAGGTAAGTTCAGATATTTTCTGCTCACAAACTGAATGAATTTGAAGAGGAATATTCAAAAACACTTTTCTAGTCCCCTGGTAATAATACTTGCACATACATTCATTTTACAGTTCTCCATTTAGAAGCATGTACATTTGTTTATGAGAGAATTTGCACATTTCTTTTAGAAGAGAGGATATAATCTTTGAGTCACTTGTTTATATATGTTTTTTTTAATTCCTCAAGTAATTAAAATCATAACTTTCAACTGCTTTTGTATCAAAAGTATAATTTGAGATTTCAGTTTCAGTCTCCTCCAACTCAGACTTTTTAATCAGGAGCCTCTCTAATGGCTCATAGGATGCTCCCTCCCCTCTCCTCGCGTAATTCGTCTTCTCAGCCAATCATATCCTTCCCCTAAAAAGTTTACGCCATGCAGCCTATAAGAAGAGCCTAAGACGTTTCTCAAAGTATCGGAAAACACTGGTCCTCCCAGGAACCTATCCATGGATACCTTGGTGTCTTCACAGCCAGGCAGAGGACCTACATGTGGACTATAACGCCCTAACTTCATGAGAGGGGAATAATTTTGGGGGGTGGACACTTAAGTGGGCGCCATCTACCCAGAGTGGAGATGTCTGAGGAAAACCTGGGGGAAGAGTCAGGCAGCGCGCCTGTCTCTCCTGTGGACAGCCTGAGTAACAGCGAAGGGGAACTGGACAGACAGCCGAAGAGATCTGGTAGAAAGAGGAGACAGAGCAGGAAGAACGGGGAGGACTCAGATAGCCCGACCCCTGGGAAAAGAGGGAAGAAATCCAGCAGCAGCAGCCCCCAGTCTTTCGAGGAGCTCCAGTCGCAGCGGGTCATGGCCAACGTGCGCGAGCGCCAGAGGACCCAGTCTCTGAATGAGGCGTTTGCGGCGCTGCGGAAAATTATCCCCACTTTACCCTCGGACAAACTAAGCAAAATACAGACGCTAAAACTCGCAGCCAGATACATCGACTTTCTGTACCAGGTGCTGCAGAGCGACGAGCTGGACTCCAAAATGGCAAGTTGTAGTTATGTGGCTCATGAGAGGCTGAGCTACGCCTTCTCTGTGTGGAGGATGGAGGGTGCTTGGTCCATGTCAACATCACACTAACATCTGCAGAAATTATGCTCTAAATGGTACGCTTGATTTTCGCGAAAGAAAAAAAAAGCATGATCTAAGCCTAAAAATACGGGGAAATGACCCACTGGAACTATTTTACTACGCTTCCACTGTGGTTTAGGCCAATGCAACCTGGTAGCTCATTGCACAGTTTAGTTATAATGAACTTATAATGAATTTTCAAACTTACAGGTGACTGCTGATTCTACTTCTCACATTCTGACGGGATAAATCTGGAGTCCAATGCTGGATACATGGGATCACTCTATTTAAACCAAAGACGACTGAAGCTTTTCATTTGAAGAGGCCCGATGGGGACTTGCAGCCGTTTTACACCATAAACCCTATCATTTTGATGTGTTTTAATGTTGCTGTTTGACAACGAATGTTCAAAATATCATGTGTGTATTTTTCAATGCATGCCTTTGGACTTATTTCTGTGGAGGTCAAAGTGCATTGTTGCAGCAGTTGTCTCCGTTGTCTACTGGAGGTGTAGCTCACATTACAGGCTGACTGTGTGGATCTAACCTGTGCAAAAATATTTTCTGAAACGTTTATTTATTTATTGGTGAAACGTGTTACATTCAGGAACAAATCCTGTATCTGAAATATACAAATACATTCCTATTTTTTATTATCGTTTTTTTGTAAATGTGTGTACATGTTTGCATTAAAGAAAACAGCTAAGAAAGTGCTTCCTTTTGGGTTTTTGTGTTTGACTCTAATTTAACTGTTTAAGATGAAAATACGCTCATATGTTTGATAGAAAAATAAAACAATACTGACTTTGAAACAAAACAGCTTTTTCTTGCGTGTCTCACGTGGTCTGACTTTCACATTACATTAACAAAAACGTCAGTCACCTGGGAAAACACTTGGAGTTACTATTGGCTCACGTAAATGCGTTGGAGAGCCTAAAGTTATATTTTTATATAGGATGACACGTCCAAGAAAGTAAAAAAAAATCTGGATATGGTACAAGTTCTACCTCCTTTATAACGAATACAATTACAGGCCAGAGGGAAAAAAGTTTTATTGCTGAAAAACTCTGTAGAAAAAAAAACTGTATGTAAAAACTTTGTTTAAAGTCCAGTTTTAATTAAAGATTTTGTCTCCCGTTTCTTTCCCCCCACTCTGTCTTTTCCTGTATTTGTTGACTGTTGGATTAAAGGCTACAATTTAAACTCATTATTATGAGTAAATCAGTGAGAGTGGGGTCATGTCAACTTCATGTTAGGACTGGGAGTGGATAGTTTATTGTGCTTGAAACTAAAGAAAAATATCAATCCCTGAAGCGCATTTATTCAGATATCTCGCACTTCTTGCTGCGGCAGAAAGCAGGAAATGCAACATCTGATTGTCTATATTGAAGACCTCGATGGCATTAAAGCACAACCCTCAATTTGATTCTTTGACATATTTTACTTTCAATTACCTGATGTATTTTTACATATCAGGGGCGCAACACGTGAACCCCCAGATAAGAGGTTGTGCGTCTTTACGCATGCCAAACAGCCCAGGAGAGTAACCCCGATTACTGTCACTAAATAAATCTTTCACGATGTTGTGGCGCTGTGACTGATCTCAGCGATCTGGGAAAGTGTTTTTCACTGTCCAAATCAAAGTGTGTGTCCGTTTGAAGGTGTGTAATTGGCTTGCGAGGCATGTATGGAATTCCCAGATGTCTATGAAATTTAAGGAGGTCGTGCTTATAGGCTGTAGGTCTATACAAGAGCACGCACACACACACACACACACAGTCTTACTCAGTTAAGTTCTTTCACACACACACACACACACACACACACACACACACACACACACACACACACACACACACACACACACACACACACACACACACATTACAAAGCTCTTTTTAAAACGTCAACACAAGGATTTTTCGCTCATTACAGGAAAAATAAATAGGGCCTTAAAAATATTTAGCCGTTATTTTTTGGTTCATAAAAGTGTGTTTTTCGGTCCTACTCAATGCAACAGGTTTCAGTGTTTTCCCTCTCTTTCTGCAGCACAGAGGAGCTGGCAATTGACACGATGCAGAGGCACAGAATGAAACCTATTTAGAACAGATGTTAGTATTTTTAAAAAAGTCACGTGAAATGAGCAGATGTTCAGAGCGAGCAGCCGTGCAGCCAGAGCGTTAGTGCTCTGCAGAGAGCGAGGGAGAGCTGCATACGAGGAGCCATACGTCCACGGCCACTCTGACCACTCTGCTCTTTAACATTACCCTGAATGTTTGATTAACATGGATTTATGAAAGAGACACCTGCGTGGGTTTCGACTGTGTGGACCGCGCTGAGACGAAGGTGAGCTGAGAAGAAAAGGAGAAAGAAAGAGACTGCCACACTTCTGCTTATAGAGGATGTTTACTCGCTGCTATATGAGATGCTAGGTGAAGTTCAGGATGTTTTTTTTAAGCTTCAATACAAACGGGCCTGCTGCCGTCGTGGTTTTTAGACTTTGAAGCGGAGTGGAGCCTACTTTAGTGTGCGCGCGCAGTTGTGTGCGTGTCTGTGTGTTGAGGGAGGGGGCTGGGTGGAGGGGAGTTACTGTAAGAAAAAAAAATGGACGAGGATTTATCATCCAGCTATAGAGGGAGAGAAAAAAAAGAAATGTATGACACTTATTTTCCTCTGAGTGAGTCTGAGCTGTTGAGTCAGACATTCACCGTAAGTCAAACAGAAACGGTGACTAAAGGAGCTGCACTATCAAACTACACTATAGTTTTCTCTTTTTCTGCATTTTCAGACAACACTTTCAAATAGTTATACTGCTCTAATTTCTTTAATAATTATAAAAGTGCGTGTTTCCTCGCGTTTAAATACGAGAGTTCATTTAAAGCCTTTAAAATAACCTATTGTAAAACATCAGCGGCTGTTGTGATAATAACTATAATCACTCTAACTATTGAGCTTCTAGTTGGATGAATTTATGTACCGGGTTGTTTAATATTATTATTGTTATTGCTGGTGCAAGAAATCCAAAAGATGTCACGAGTCTTTCCTCGTGTTGTAAATATAGAACCCCGATCATCTGGTCATTCACGTGCACCAGCAGCTGGCAGGTGGTGGACAATTTACACAACAAAAACATTTTTTTATTTGTATTTTTTTGCCATTAATGTGTCCTCAAAAATTTTCTTTTTAATAAGTTTAAGGTTTGTCACACTCTACTTAACCCATTATTGGCTTTTGTATCATATTTGATTCATACTTTTTTGATACTTTAATCAATATGATCAACAAATTACTTTAAAAAAAAATTCCCGAATACATGAAAATGATAAAAAAATGTCCTCTTGTAGTTCCAAAAACAACAAATGTATCAAACAAGATAAATAAACATATCTGTTAAATTTTAAGGAAATTTTGATTTTTTTTTTTTTGGTTTTCAGTGGAATAAACATTTCAGCTCCAAAACAATTTGAATTTTCTGGCCATAATTTGTGGCCAGGAAAGGGTTAAACTTTTCTACTTTAAATTTTTTTTTAAATTTTTTTAAACTTGCATCAATGTTTTGAAGTCCAGTTCAGTTTAGAAATATGAAGTTTCACTGCTACTATATGCCTTCTGAATAATTTTAATAATTAAACACACTATGGACACTAAATTTTTAACAATGTCTTTGAACGTCTACTCCTGAGTTCAGCCACGCAGAGCAGGTGCAGACATTATGCTGCTCGCTCCACAACTTGAAGTGAATTTCCAGATTTTCCACTTTGAGCCTCAGTGAGAAATTAAAAAGCTCTCTAGTTGATAATCTGCCTTTTTCAGGCCCACACACGCAGTTTGATCCACACCTTATACAACACATCAGGGCAGGGACATTAAACTGAGGAGAAGCTGAGCGGCCGCATGGAGATCACATCAGAGAGCAGATCTGCAGGCGAGGAAACTGATGCAGAAAAGACTAAACGGAAACAGATACAGAGCGTTCCTCCTGCAGCCTGCTGATTGTTGAATACATTTACATTTTTAATACTGTTTTTGGCTGGGGTTAGTACTTCATATGATTCATTATGCAAAAAATGTTAGACAAGTTGTGGTCCAAGAAAAATTGTTGAAACAAGTCAAAAGCAGTCACTTTGCACTGTCGCCTTTCCTACGATCAACAGAACTGTGGAAAATCTTGAGTGTAAATGTACAGCAAAAGATCGGTGTTTCAAAAAACAAAACTGTTGCTAACGTTAACCTACCTTTAGTCTCACTCCCTTTAATGAGGCAAAGCAGAAGTTTCAACAAACAAAACAGGCAAAACTTTTTCAAAAGGATTAAATTTGCTCTAAATATGATTTAAAAGTTGTAAATTATAAAGTGTAATATTTGTATATTTATGAGCAGCTGTGGATACCTGTTGGGTGCACTGATGTTTGAAGCCTCTGTGTGCAGGGGTGTTTTTTTTGTCTATGTGACAGCACTATATGAAATCAGGCATCTAACTGTGAGTGCTTCATCAGAAAAAGAGCTACATTTAATAATTACACCATCACTCACCTGTTTCTTGTAGGAAAATAATAATGACAGTTTACACAGCCTCCTTTAAGAAGGGTTTTTAACCCATTTTAGCATGGAGATTTAAACCTATATTAGAAACAAACCACTTGGTAAAAATAAGAGTGTGTTGTTAAACCTTTGTACTTTTTTGTGCATTACACTCTAAATTTAGCCACAGATGTTCACTTGATGTTAGGAATGGAGCTCGTCTGTTAAATCAAAACCTAAAACCGTCAACATGTATAATACAGGAGAGCAGGTGTTTCTGTCAACCCACTGCACACAAAGTTAAGTTTGATGGGCTTTGAAAGTCATATTGGTCATTTTTATAAAATAAAAAACAATAATTTAGTCTTTATACTTTAAACACACCAAGACTAACAGTCCAATTATCTATTACCTTTTAAATAAACGTCTCTCTGTTTAGAGAAACATCGAGATGCAGGTTTTAAAAATCAGTGTCACCTAACTTTGAGCTTTTGTCTGGAAATCTGTATGAAAAATGAGATAAATAAATGATCTAAGTCAGATTTAAAAAGCTGAATCATGTTTCAGATATTTGAATAAAGTAGGACACAACAGATGTAATTGTGACCTTAAGCTGTTTGAGGGAATGTTAACTGGACGCTTAAATAAACTGGGTTGAAGGCTTGTGGACACACACTGTGTTTAAGTTGGCAAATTACAGATTTCAGCAGAAAATGTGCAGCCCTGACAGGTCAGTGTTTCATCAGAGTGTGAGATGCACTGATCATACGGAGTGACGCCATGACTGAAGCATGTGATCTGAGTGGATCCAGACACGTCCTTTGATACTCCAGTCAAAACGCATGCACCTCATGTTGAAACTCCTGTGTGTGATGTGTGCCACCCAGGCTGCAGACAAGACATAGATCAGGGTGTTTTAGAGGAATACACAATGATGTCACACACACACACAGGAAAAAGGGCTGAGGAAGGCTTGGCACCTTTCAGGATTGGCCAGATCCCTATTGGCTCAGCAGAAACGCTGTAATAATAAACAGGCAATCAGAAAGCGGCGTGAGCATACACAAAGGCAACGCAAAAGTTTGCAGATAATAAAAGCAGATTTTTCACCCGGAGGGATGATTATTTGTGTTCTTCAGTTATCCATAAATAGAGAGCCTCTCACAGGAAGTATAAACACACAGACGAAGACGAGGGCGGTCGTATGGTCCAACACAGTGATTTCAAACATTCCTGTTTATGTTCAATCAAGATGGAGTGTATATATAAAACTGTAGCCCCAGTTTGAGCATGAAATACAAAGGATTATTTTCTGAGGGAAGAGGGAAAAAGAGGACCTCAGCACAGACTGTTAGCTGTGTGATGAGTGTGAACCACATGCTGGTAGAGCTTATAACACACACACACACACACACACACACACACACACACACACACACACACACACACACACACACACACACACACACACACACACACACACACACACACACACACACACACACACATTACTCTTCAGTCTCAAAGTTTTCAAATTCTCATAAATTTAAGATGAATTATTTTTATTTTAAGAATGTGTTTAGGGTGAAATATGTCACCATAATAGCATAAATAAGGGACCTGGTTGTTTCCTGGGTGTGAAGAGAATAAGAGCACAATTTACCCCTTATTGAAGCTTTCAGTGGATCATGAAGTCATTGTGTATAACTCAGGGGGGTTAATTGGGCTCTAGTGATGCAGCATCCCTGTGTCTATCCCTGAGGGGGTTTCACTCCTCCCCAGGTATTAATCCAATTCCCTTCATTAACCTGCAGCCCCATCGGTTACACCAATGCTGAATACCAGGACTCTAATGTCAGACTGATAAATGATGTGTTGTTACCAAGAGTTACAATGACTTCCTTGTTCCCTTTGAAGCCTCTTAATTCTCAGATTTAACACATTTTAAGCAACAGAGCGGCATCATTTGGGCGCAGGAAACTCAAATTTAACAACAAAAAACTTCACAACAAATTATTTAATACTGGTATGAGACGATTAATGCAGTAAACTGGAAAATGCATGTAAATATAGGGTTAAACAAGTTGAATATCCTGAGCTAGGGGCATAACGTTCAACTATGCAGTTATGGATGCCCAATTTGGACAAAATTAATGCTCTTTTCACAGTGAGAAATCCTGGAAAAGCCTCGCTCTTTTCCTGTCAGCGAAACTAAAGAGGTGATTTGTTTCTACAGTTTTTCTAACAGGCGTACAAAAAATTGTTTTCACTCTTTAAAATGCCACATTAAAACAAAACTGTTCTCTCATCAAATTTTGTTCCAGCACTCTGATTTACAGAGCTGTCAAATATTACGAGTGAAACCTCCCACTTTGTTTAATCTTTGGATCAGGAAAGGTTATTGTTGAATTTCTTACAGTGCTTTGACATTTTACTTTCAGGTTTAAGAATTAGTTTCATCACCTCTTCAGCATACGTCACTGAGCAGTAAACTGGACGGGTTCTCTGTGTGTCTTTAGGGCGAGTTCTCACCTGGTGTGGATGTTCTCTGTAAAGCTCCGACTCATCGCGTATTTCCTCTCATCCCAGCAGGGGCGTTGGTGCAGGACGCTGACTCTTCACAAGTGCGGCGTCAGGATCACTCAGTCCAAAGACGGAGGAGACACCTGGTCAGATGAGGGACACACTAATATGAGGAACAAGAGTAATAATGTGAGAAATAATTGTGTTTACATATGAAGCATCTTGATAGAGAAGCTGAGCTAAAAAAAAAAAAGGTGTTTTATTGCTGACTACTGATGTGTATTTTGTCAGATGCATTGAATTCCAGTGTTAACTAGTGCTGTCATTGGGATGTATTTACACACTGCCCAAAACAATTAATGACCAAGTAGTTAAAGTGTTTTGACATTACTGGTACAAGGTTGTTTTCACTGACTGCACTTCACTTTTATGACAGCAGACTGCAAGTTTTGCAAAGAATTCCCAAAATTCACACTTCAAATGCTTTTTTAATACCTTTTTATCTTTAAAGATAAACTTGAAAACCAGAGCTATTTAAGAAGCTCCTGATAATCTGCGTGTTAGACGGCATAAATCTCCTCTTATCTCCTTTATCTGCATGTCATCAGGGTGCTGGCTCGTCCTCCACAGCAGAGGGCCGGCTCTTTGTGGCCTCAGTGCTAAATCAAGTTCAAAGAGGACCACTGGTGTTTGGCAGATAGTTTTACTCCAGGGCAGAGGGAGAACGGAGTGTTTGGTTGACCTCTGAGTCTGTCCTTTGATTTCCAGATCTGAGTGACCCCTGACAGAGCAGAGCGACGATACTGCAAACTTCATTCAGGCACAGTGCTCTGGGAGATAACTGACCAAACTTCCAATCTTGTCACTTAACCAATGGATAGCTTTCAATCTTTTACTGTAATGTTTTAATGATTGCTTTGGCAAAACAAAACCCATAAAAAAACATTAGTAGTTCTTGATTTTTGAAGACAAGCCAATGCACTCAAGAGCAGTTTTATCAGGGTTCAGGAATGCCAATTTCACTGATCATGGACAGACAGACTGAATGAGAAGATTATATTTTGCATTAAATTTCAAAGATTTTGCTCAAAGGTTTCCATTTAAACCAGCTGCATCACTCTTGCATGACTGTGTAAAACGCTTCAGAAAGAGGGTGTCGTTTGTTGTTGGTGTGTAACTTTTGTTTTCATTCAAATCATATAATGAAGACAATAAAACTTCAACCACTGATGCAATAATTCGAATCCCTGTTCCTCATTTGTGTGATTTTATCGAGGTCGGATTGTTAGTTATTTACTTTTCCTTTTTTAAAAAGAAAAATATAACAAGATGTCACAGTTACAGCATATGGTCTCTTTTTATTTGAACCAAAAAGTCTGGTAACATCATACGGCCCAAGATGATTTGAGAGCAAAGACAGAGATTTCTCTGTGAACTACGTCTGAACACAGTTGGCAGTCCATCAGCAAAAACAGCTCAATGTTTATTCTGGTACAACTGTATTATCACATTATAATGAAGGACCATTGCTTGATGTTAGGACTGCAGTTATTCAAAGACAAAACTTTAAGTGGAACAGAAAGCGTATTTAAAGCGTGGTGGCGGCTGATTATACGACTTAGATGTTTTTCTATTTGACATATATTATGTAGAGTTCTAGAGGAAGCAGATTTCTTATGTTTCAAAGGAACTAGCTGTAAAACACTGGTACAAAATAAGCAAGAAAATCCCAAAAGTAAGAGTTATGGAACAATGAGGTACTTCACTGTAACCTTGACAGACTACTCCAGAAATCTAGAGTCTTGGCTGTCCTTGCGAACATATGTTTCAGTGAATAATCCAAGAAATGTTTTACAAAGTCAACGCACGCATAGGTTTTCTCTGTTTTGTTCGTATTATGTGTTATTTGGGTTCATTTCCCCGACCTTTAACACTTGCCCCAGAGAAATGCAAATGCCCAAAGAACATAATGGTTCCCTTCCTGTGTAAAAATGAGGCCGTAAAGGAAGATAATTAGAGTTGTCATGACAACGTGGTCCAGCAGGCTGACGGTGCCGTGTTCGCTTGCAGAACTTCAAACGGTATCAAAGCTCCTACAGGGCTGGTACTCGAGCTCTGGTTTGAATTAAGGAGCAAACTTCCACCGTCTCTTTCTCTCTCCAAATTCAAGATCAATACGGGACACCCTCTTCAAAAAAGAAAAAAAAAAAGGCAGGAAAAAGGTAAAAAGGCTCAGCTACTCCTGGACCAGACAGACGTGGAGATCTGGATTTCATTATAGACAATTATCTTATCTGTTTCATCTCAGCGCTGCCCCAAAGGGTTGGCAGGCGGACCAGTGGGCTCTTTGCAGTTTAAGAAAGCCTGCAGCCAGCCAGAGGCCTGTGGATCAGGTCATTAAAACACTCCTGCCCCTGCTGCTTGTGATCAAATATTTTCATGCTTTTGTAGATAGATTTTTGTCTTTCAACCCCACAGGACACAAAAAACACAACCTTTTTTTTCTCAAAGATTTTGAGAGGAGTCAGCCAAAACATTGTTGCCTTTGCTCTCAGGTGAAGCTGCATGAGCGCATCTAAAACCTCTGATGTTTTTCCCTGTCAAACCTGTGGCTGGCTCTGTATCATCAGCATTGTAGTAACTTGTTAATGTGAAACCATGTCGACCTGCCACAACACCTACACATCAATCCTTACCTTGACAACACCTCCAAACATCACTCAAGCAAAAGTCTGGCTGGGGTAAAAAGTGAAATTTTGCTTTCCTGCAGAGTATTAGAGAAGACTCAACATTCACATCCAACCATTCAATATGTAGTGAGAACCAGAGGGCAAATACACTCACCGGCCACTTTATTAGGTACACCATGCTAGTAACGGGTTGGACCCCCTTTTGCCTTCAGAACTGCCTCAATTCTTCGTGGCATAGATTCAACAAGGTGCTGGAAGCATTCCTCAGAGAGCTTGGTCCATATTGACATGATGGCATCACCACACAGTTGCCGCAGATTTGTCGGCTGCACATCCATGATGCGAATCTCCCGTTCCACCACATCCCAAAGATGCTCTATTGGATTGAGATCTGGTGACTGTGGAGGCCATTTGAGTACAGTGAACTCATTGTCATGTTCAAGAAACCAGTCTGAGATGATTCCAGCTTTATGACATGGCGCATTATCCTGCTGAAAGTAGCCATCAGAAGTTGGGTACATTGTGTTCATAAAGGGATGGACATGGTCAGCAACAATACTCAGGTAGGCTGTGGCATTGCAACGATGCTCAATTGGTACCAAGGGGCCCAAAGAGTGCCAAAAAAATATTCCCCACACCATGACACCACCACCACCAGCCTGAACCGTTGATACAAGGCAGGATTGATCCATGCTTTCATGTTGTTGACGCCAAATTCTGACCCTACCATCCGAATGTCGCAGCAGAAATCGAGACTCATCAGACCAGGCAACGTTTTTCCAATCTTCTATTGTCCAATTTCGATGAGCTTGTGCAAATTGTAGCCTCAGTTTCCTGTTCTTAGCTGAAAGGAGTGGCACCCGGCGTGGTCTTCTGCTGCTGTAGCCCATCTGCCTCAAAGTTCGACGTACTGTGCGTTCAGAGATGCTCTTCTGCCTACCTTGGTTGAAACGGGTGGTTATTTGAGTCACTGTTGCCTTTCTATCAGCTCGAACCAGTCTGGCCATTCTCCTCTGACCTCTGGCATCAACAAGGCATTTCCGCCCACAGAACTGCCGCTCACTGGATATTTTTTCTTTTTCGGACCATTCTCTGTAAACCCTAGAGATGGTTGTGCGTGAAAATCCCAGTAGATCAGCAGTTTCTGAAATACTCAATCCAGCCCTTTTGGCACCAACAACCATGCCACATTCAAAGTCACTCAAATCACCTTTCTTCCCCATACTGATGCTCGGTTTGAACTGCAGGAGATTGTCTTGACCATGTCTACATGCCTAAATGCACTAAGTTGCCGCCATGTGATTGGCTGATTAGAAATTAAGTGTTAACGAGCAGTTGGACAGGTGTACCTAATAAAGTGGCCGGTGAGTGTAGCTTAGCTATGCATCTGGTCTGGAATAGGGGTGGGAGAAAAAATCGTTTCAACATAGTATCACGATATTTGTCTGGTGATATATCGTATCGTCTGATCTACCAAATATCGATTTGTCAAATTAATTGCTAATATGAAGTCAAATCTATGATAATGGAAAAATAAAATCAACTGTCTGTCCAGTGAGGTTGGCAGAGGTGACATCAGAGAGCAGGAGAAAGTTAGTACAACAAATATATATATAAAAAAGAAAACATGAAGATAACATACAATGTACATAAGACAAACATAAAGGAAAGACAAATGCTAAATTAGCTAAACAGTTGAAAAAAATTCATAAATCACAATATATCATATCGCAATACTCACTGTATTGCAAAATGTTAAAAATCACAATAATATCGTATCGTGGCCCAAGTATTGTGATAATATCACATCATGGGGCCACTAGTGACTCCAACCCCTAGTCTGGGAACAAGGAAACTGCAGACAGTAGCAGCGTATGTGAAAATTTGCTTCTTTTCACTGTTTTGCAACCACCTGCTTCCCTATGCAGAGCAACATCTGGCAACACGGACTTGAATGCACAACTTTTTAACATTTTTTTCATGGAGTTTTTACTGAAAAGGCTCCTCAATTAAAGCAGCGGTATAGCAGCACATCTTGAGACAAATTAGGTACTAGTCAGTAGGTCTGCAACTTAAGCCAGGAAGCTAGAGGCCAAACTTTACTCTGACTCTTGTAAGGTCAACCAAAAGTTAGGAAGAGTTAAAGCAGAAAAGTTTGTAATACTTGACCATGCTTTTTTGTGGTGGTTGTGCCATTTCCACCAATTAGCCGTTAAAGCATTATCAATCATCTTATTCAATGTTTGGCAAGAAATAGAACATTTTCCACAACAGGTGACTCTTTAAAAAAATGAAACGTCAAGTGTTCTCAGGATCTGTTCTCTTTCAAAAGGCAAACATAGCCTCTCAGAAAATACTGCTTTTCAAAGATGGGATGCCCTCTGTGGTGGATTTAGGAGGTGGGGGTGGAGGCAGTGGTGATGGCAAAAAAGCAGAGAAGGATATGAGGCCCAGGCAGGACCTGAAGCTGAAATTGAGAAGTCTCCTCATCAGGGGTTAGGGATCATGGGCAGAAACTTCCCTTCATCACAGCCAGGTTTGGAAATGCAGGGGACAGCGTAGGTCAGCCGAGACAGCCTGCTGTGTGCCGTTACCATGGCAAACATCCCAAGGGCCAAAGAAAATAGATGACAAGCACAATAATATGAGGTGTAATCACAGAGGTCAGTTGCCTGCAATGTGCTGCTTCTGCTCCCAAGGCCTCATTTTCTGCAGAAGTGAAAAAAAGTCATTTCACTTTAAGGGAAAATGACTCAGTAATGTGCTCATTTTTCCTTCATGCCTCTAGAAATCAGGAAACCTTGAGGGACATGCTCTAGAGACTCTCCATGAGCCGCCACTGAGAGATTCCAGTCCACTTCCATCGCCAGATATTTACTTTCCGGTTCTTTGTACTGGGTGCAGATGGAATCTCGTGTCCTCTTTAAGGGGAAATTTTATGACTTATTAACTGTCAACAGTTCATAACCTCTGAGGAGCTATTAAACTTCCTCCCGTGGTCACTCCAGAAATGCCCGTGTTTGATTTGGACCGAGAGGTATTTGAATGTGTTTGCTCTTCCGCGCCCTGCGAGCAAGTGCAACAAAATACAGCAATCAGCTGCAACATCAGAGCATTCTGTCAAGATAAAGATAACAATGTGTTTGCTCTATTTTGAAATTGCAGAAAGCACAGTGTAGATTTATCGACTGAGATCGCTGTTAATCACAGAAGAGAAAACAGTGCGGAGAAAAATCAAGAAACAAAGAACCAAGATGATACGATCCTGCAAATATTTAACAACCAATAAGCTATCAAATCCTTAAAAATAACACATTTATTAATACATGCATACAATAATAAATTGAGCTATATTATGGATATATTTGGACTTGTGCAATGGTGTCAGTGGTTTGACTAAATCATTTATCACCAGCCAAAAACAACCAGAATGAATAATTGAGTCCAGATGTGGCTGATTCAAGCTTGATAGCAGGGTTCATTTCCTGTCTGTGCTTTGCAAGACAACCTATTACACCTCCCAGGCAGCTGCCGGGTGAACGGGCCCCGCC